ACATTACACTTATTGGTTCATGAACGTGTTTGATCAAAACAGATATGTGTGTATCATTTCATATTGCCTATTCAGGCATATTGACAAAATCATTAAAAACAAAAAAGGTAAAAATAATGATCCCATACTAATGAACATTGACATGGTATTAAAATCTGTTGAATATACATGTCATATGAAAACAATGATTATCAAGTTTCAAATGTTTTCAAGGAAACAATAATGAATTATCAGTGGAATAGTATAAATATTATGAAAAGAGATGATTAAGGTATCATTGATTATTTACAAGATTATAAATATGATTTTTGGGTTGTCAATATTAGCTCATTAAAAAATCTTTTGATATAAAATATGTTGCCTAATAGACTAATTTTAAAAAAGCAAGTTTTACAGACAAAGCCAATATTAGTAATTTACGTAATAAAATATTTAATCATCTTAAAAAGGAAATGGAAATAACATTTATTTTGAATAAATATCCTTTATGTTGTTACATTTGATCCGATTTTTATGGTTTATGTTAAATCATGTGTAAGTTCTACATCAATGTGGAATAGAATTGGCTACGATTTAAGAAAAGTTCAGGTTTTTGTCACATTTAAAGCTCAATTTCTAAAAGCCTTTATCAGTGAAAATTGAAAGAGGATATTTTCAATTTTTCCTTATTTCATGCTTTCCACTTTACAGCGACAGGGTCTACATCCGTTTGACCAATAGTACCTTAGTCTCAGAAACGGATTATGAGCCGTTCAAAGTTAAAAAGACGACTCGTCTATTCTTGAAACTCTATCATATATAGAAGAGACTTCTATAAAAATGGAAAGTGAAATTCCTAGTGTTAAGTATTTTTGAGGAATTATACGATTTTCGTACTTCTGGATACTATTTATATATATTCAAGACCCAAATCAACCCCTAAAAATGGCGAGTATGCATTGTGTTGATAAGGCTTTGAATTTCATGGATTGTAAAACTTTGTTTCAATGGTAATAATTATAATAAATTTGCAAATTGTAGCAAGGACATTTTGGTTTTATACAGAGCAACTAATCTTAAAGGATTTCTTTGATATGATTTTTGTTTCACTAATTATCTCATGGAGTAATTATTACTATTACCTATTTCATCCTTTCATATTTTTATTACATCGAATAAAACAATTTTGTTAACTTTTAATGTTTTGTTTGTTTTGCTGTAATATGTAGACCTATTTTTTGGTTTCCCTCTCCATGCGATCAAGATTTGAGCGGCTAATATGGCAAAGGTAGCAAGTCATTGAGACAGGGCGATATATATATTATATGTAACAGAACTTTAAAATCGAAAAAGACATACTAAAACCCATGCTAATAATGTATCATTATTTTGCTTTGACTATATTCTGAAGAAGTAAATTTGATGGGGATAGAATGTTTCGTCTATGTCTTACTAAATATATTTTTATTAAAAAAATTAGACCAAAATGCAGGAATTTTTGGGTTTTTTCTGTTATTTGATTATTATTTCTCTTTGGAGGAGTCCACTACTTTACAAGTTTCAATTTTTGATACGGATTTTGATTAACAGAATTGTTTTGCTTGTTCGGATCTTTATTTATTTATGTCGGGTTAACTTATTAATTCTACATCATTTGTTATTCTTTGATAATGGATAATGACAAATAAATCTATTACGATGCTATAAGCAATCACCTCATGCCATTGTTGGATACATTTATACAGCGAATCGTTACGTTACTTTTTTGTTAGTGAGTAAACATGGTGGCGAGATACGTTTTTATGTAGACTAGTAGAAAAGAAATCGAAACTGAGTCTATGGAATGCATATAACTAATATTTTGTTTGCTCATTAGATTTTCCCTATGCATTTAGCTTTGATCGCAAACATGGATATTGGCAAATGAACAGGCCTTATTCTTAATGATGGAAGTGAGTAATCTTAAAGATGATTTTGTTTAGACTAGCAAATATGTTTGATCGTGAATCAATCACTTATTATTTTTGTAATACTCATAATATCCTATTGTATTTACTTATGAAGTTTCACCTATTGTATGCTTACTTTTGATCTTGAACATGGGATATTGGCAATTAAAAATCTGGTAGTGTTGCATCATAGAGTATAATGAGCACTAAAATTAGTGCTAGTTATTTTTGCGTAGTTAAAACAAGAAGAATATGTACGGTTTGTTGCCATTTCTTAACTGAATTGACAGATAGATCTTTAATGACAACAACAAAAAATGATAATCCTCAAGTTCTTGTTCTTCTCGAATTTTTCTTAAATCAGTTTTATAAGGAACCACTTAGTTCTATGGCATAGTTGCTCGACATCTATATGAATTAAAATTTAATTAGGTTGAAATAAGATTAATTATTCTTTTCTATATTTCTTTCAATCAATTGACAATGACGATATAACGTCATGTCCCTATTTATCTTCCTTCAATTTTCTGTCATTGATAGTATTCATATTTCAAATAAATAGATTAATTGAACTGGGTAACCTGAATACTATTATAGATAAAATACCCAACAACCTAGTTCGAGACTTTACTTAGTTTCGCTCTGCCAGTGATGCAGGTCAGAGGGACTGGCGTCGAAAGGTGGCTTGTTGTTAGGATAGTATACAGTGCATGGTAGCAATCCATCTTATCCAGAAAAATTTCCTCTAATTGGTAAACAAAAAGAGGGGGGGGGGGGAGAGAGCAGAATATGTTATTGAACAAGACATAGTTTGCAAGGAGCCCCTGAAAAATTCTGAAAGGCAACCAATACCATTCCGCAACGTAACACGATACATCATTGCCTCTCCAATATATGACTTATCATTCCAAACGATCAAGTCTGGCAACGGGCCTTGTATGGGGAAAAACAGTTTTTATTCAACTTTATGTATCGTTCTCCAATTGGCCTAACATTCAAAGGATTACACCGCAAATTACCCTTAATCTTGGCGGGAGATTCAGTCTGAATCTTAAAATGATGATGACCCTACACGTATATATCACAGCCGATTTAAACATTTTGCTTGTACATACAGTTTTGATGAAATGCATAGATCTATACAAATATGTAACACATTTAAATGTTGCTCCATTGTTATGTAAGTAAGGCATATAAAAGGCTTCGGTTGGTATTTTAATAAAAATTGATTTATTTTTTATGAGTCCATTAACTACTAAGTAATAAAGGCACTTTTCAATAGACTGAACTTTATGCAGTAATTTGCATAACGTAAGAAAACAATAAAATGAAGTGACAAACATTTAGAAGTCCAAGGAGCTTGAAATAAACAAATAGGTAAAGTGAGTCTTAAAAAAAATCGTCGGAAGATTTGGCCTTTGAATATGTGTAAATATGTGTAAACAGAACACATAACATATTTACTCAAACTTTCATTTTCAATCTTCACTGGTTTCTCCCATGTCTGGAACATGGATTTGAATCCCAATTTGGACAGTGAGTTGTAAACACTTTGACATATTAGCTCAGCTAAAGAAAAAAATACTATTTTTTGAGGTACGATTGGTCAATCGATGGCGAATTTGTCCCTTTAAGTGAATATTAAAAGTATAACACGAGTGACTTTAATATTGACTAATTGAACTCGGCTAATTTGTATTTTATTACTTGTTAATTTGTTTAACATTGTATTGAAGGAAATTAAAGACATGATTCATCCGAGCATAGTAAAATATAGATCATTAAATAGTCGTAATATACTGATTGTTTTCATGATAACAGCAACTGAAGTACAGTCTGAGTGAACCAAACCAAGGGTTGGATTTCACCATGCGAGATTAACTTACAGCTAATGACGCCATATCCTTGGCACTGTCTCGAAATTAAGACATATAACTGACACTATACCTACCAAAATCAATGTAGCGAAAATATATCAAGCGTCCTTGAACGTAAACACGCACATTCTAAATAAATTGTAAGAATTCTTTGGGATTTGATCATTTTTAATAATCTCAAATTTTTCTCAGAAGAAAAATAACAAAGTCACACATTCAGGAACAATACCCAAAACATTTTATTCAAAATTATCCAAGATGGGTTAATTATTTTGATTTAGCTATCAGGTTAAGTATAAGTTATATGAATAGATATAACTATAAACACTCTTTCAGGAAAATCGAACTTGAATTCTAAAAAGTGATACAGGTATATATATGACATCAAATATCAATCAAAAATCCCTTCAAGCTATCAAATTTTTAAATTTCAAAAGAATTTTGTACTCTTAATTGCTTACAATTTGTACAGCTTTGAAACCCAGATGAGCCTAATATATATATAGTATACATTACTTTCATAATTCGCTCTAAAGGCACTAAAGGGACAGCTTCAAACACAATTCACAGATTTACAGAAAACTGTTTCAGAAGCATCATCAGTTCTATATTAACAGGCCCATTATCTCAAAATGCATATTATCTCGATTATGGTTTCTATATAATTTATCTAAAGTATAGTTTCATATTCATTATCTCGAGTTTTGTTCCATATTCATTATCAAACGTTTATCAGTTTAATAGTTTATTGACTCCAGTATAGTTCAATATTCATTGACTCCAGTATAGTTCAATATTCATTTACTCCAGTATAGTTCCATATCATTAATTCCAGTTTTGTTCCGTATTCATTAACTCCAATGTAGTCAAATATTCAAGTTTAGTTCCATAATATATTCATTATCTCAAATTTTGTTCCGTTTTCATTAAACTACGGTAAATTTCCGTTTTGAAAAATTAAGTGAAAGCAAACAAAAGGAAGTGACGTGTGAATATTAAAGACGATTAACGTCTAAACATGGATGAATTATATCAAGTATGTCAGATGAATTTAGAGACAAACAAAATAAAGTCTTATGACAAATGAAAAATTATTGAAGTTCCGAGAAGCATTTTGGTTCCCCAAAGATGGCTAGGGTTAACATTAGGTGATTGCTTTCAAAGCCATATTTTTTTATTTTAAAAATTTGTGATATTAAAATTTGATGTCTTTAACATGGAGTGTTTTAGGATGGTAAAAGCCAGGTGGTGGTTTCGGATTATTATTAGATTTATATTGTGATGGTAAAGGAAAAGTTTTTGCAGTATATGAGATGAAATCGCTCTCCTTTGTTACAGCACTAGGATCATTATTATTAAGTGTTTTAGAGAACGCATTATTTTCATTTTTACCAACAGAGATTGTATTGTTCATTTTTTGTGAAACGTGAAATAGTTTCCGCACTGCCAATTTCATCCTCAGCGACTCGGCTGCATTTTTCACTCTCATTTCTTTTCGTTTATTTTCTCTAAGAGCTCGCTCCTCTCTGACCGTCAGATTAGAGTAATAGGCATTGAAATTCTGGGCAATAATCGCTATAGGCATAGATAAGAGCAACAGACCAGATAAAGCACAACAGATTCCAACCAAATGCCCTGCAAATGTAACAGGATAATAATCGCCATATCCCACCGTAGTCATGGTGATAATTGCCCACCAAATCGCATAAGGTACACTCTTGAAACTTGCAGAGTGCGACAATGATTCAGCGAGGAAAACAAACGTAGCAAAAATCATGACAGCCATCGTCAGGCCGACTAATAAAAGTAACAATTCTCTTAAACTGGCTTTGATAGTCAGGTATAGTATTTTGATGGTGGGATACCTTCTAGCGAGATGAAATATTCGAAACACACGCAATCCTAGGAATAACCGAATAACTGTTTCCACTTCTTTAAGAATCGGATCATTTCTCTTGAAGGCAGGCGACATGTCGATACCAAAGGCGGTTATCATGACCATCATCAGAAAGATGTCGAGTTTATTGAGACCTCGACGAAAGAATTCTCGTTTATCAGGACAAATCAACATCCGTAGCGGTAATTCTATCATGAAGAATACCATACACACGATATCCAGATAATACAGTGAGTCGACAGGGTGAGTGTGAGTGAGATTGTAGAAAGGATCTGACGCATTTGTTGAAGGGTTACTTGCATTCCCACTTGGACTTACATCGTCAATTCTAAATTCAGGAATAGTTGATAGACAGAAAACAATTATAGACAGCAGGACAAAGGCAATGTAAACAAAATGCCAGACCTGCAAATAGAAAAAAATAAATAGAGAAATTTAATCAAATTGAGACTTCATTTCTTAACATTGATGTTGTTGATAATGTTTTACTATAGAGTTTTATACATTATACATTAAAGTTGCTTATAAATATTTTCATCAATATTTGTGTTATTAAACACAAACATCTACATATACTGATAAACATCTACATAAGTATTTAGGTTGGAGAGTTCTATATCAGCATTTTATGTTCTACAGCAGAGACCCGTTGAATCAATCATTTATTGACCGTAATTACTCAAAATTATATCATTCACAGTTTCGAATATGCAATTCAAAGTAATTGATATTGGATAGCTCTACGCCAAGGAAGTCATAGCAAGAATGTCGCACATTTTTCACATTATGAATGATAACAATATAGTGGGCTTACATTCATGATTCATAATGATAAAGATAAATGGTGATAATGATAATGATGATAATAATAATGGTATTAATAATATTTGACCTACATTCAATAATGTTAAATTATAAATGGTGATAATGATAATGAAGGTAATAATAATGATATTAATAATAGTTGACCTACATTCAATAATAAAAATAAATAGTGATAATGATAATGATGAAATAATTGGCCCTACATTTAATAATGATAAAGATAAATGGTGATAATGATGATAATAATGATATAATTGGCCCTATATTCAATAATGATAAAGATAAATGGTGATACTAATGATATTATTGGTCCTATATTCAATAATGATAAAGATAAATGGTGATAATGGTGATAATAATGATATAATTGGCCCTATATTCAATAATAATAAAGATAAATGGTGATAATGATGATAATAATGATATAATTGGCCCTATATTCAATAATGATAAAGATAAATGGTGATAATAATGATATAATTGGCCCTATATTCAATAATAATAAAGATAAATGGTGATAATGATGATAATAATAATAATGCTATTAATAATAGTTGGCCTACATTCAATAATGATAAAGATAAATGGTGATACTAATGATATTATTGGTCCTATATTCAATAATGATAAAGATAAATGGTGATAATAATGATATAATTGGCCCTATATTCAATAATAATAAAGATAAATGGTGACAATGATGATAATAATGATATAATTGGCCCTATATTCAATAATGATAAAGATAAATGGTGACAATGATGATAATAATGATATAATTGGTCCTATATTCAATAATGATAAAGATAAATGGTGATAATGGTGATAATAATGATATAATTGGCCCTATATTCAATAATAATAAAGATAAATGGTGACAATGATGATAATAATGATATAATTGGCCCTATATTCAATAATGATAAAGATAAATGGTGACAATGATGATAATAATGATATAATTGGCCCTATATTCAATAATAATAAAGATAAATGGTGATAATGATGATAATAATAATAATGCTATTAATAATAGTTGGCCTACATTCAATAATGATAAAGATAAAGGGTGATAATATTATAATATTGATGATGATAAAGCCTGAAGATTTAAAAGGAATTTTTCCATTGATTTCGAACATTGACATTGACATTGATGTTATCTTAATGACATGCCACATAATTTCACATCCGAAAAACTCATCAATCACAATAGTAAAAACGTCTGCAATAAATTCAAAATAATTCCAAGAATGGTCGAAATATCTAAAAAGATTTAATAAAAGACTTTGAACTATTCAGTTCTGAAAATGATCAAAGTACAGTGATGAATTGACATTTTGCGCAGCTAAAGAATTGAAATTTTAACAATGACAATACAGACAAGCTTATTGATTTATTAAACATGATTTTTTTCTTCAAAAAAGGTGATTTAAAGGAGTTTATATGCGTAACCAAGCAAGGGTTATGTTTTGTTATGCTTGTTAAAGGTACGTTCTTAGAACTAAATCTCATCGCAAACAGAAAATTGGTTGGTGGTTGAAAAGCTGACGTCTGATGTTATTGGCTAAATTACATTTCAGTCTGCGAATGCTTAAACATAACACCACAGAAAGATTATTATGGTGGCAATCTTTCAATTTAATTGTATTATTTAGTGTTCACTTAATGTCACCTACACAGGCCTTAAAGGCAGGACGCCGTCATGAAACGACAATGAAAATCAAGCTTAAGCGTACTAAATAACATCGTTTCCAAACCACGCCCCCATTCCCCATACTTCCATGTCAAAACCCGTATTCGTGATACGATGAACAAATGAGAGATGTATATGTTCACCCAATGAATTAACAAAGAACCTTTTTAAGAAGTCGAATTACCACGTTTAATTAAAGACAAAAGAGATACATTCCCTTTTAAAAAAAATAGTCATTGGAGAATCATAGAGAATCATTGAGATGCAGTCATCAATATTAACGCTCCAGAAAGCGATTGTTGATATCGAACGGTATTGAACATAAGCAATATCTTAAGACTCATTAATATTGTATATAATTCAGGAAGAACAATGATCAAAACCTACACGCTTCTTTCAATACATAAATTATTTACTAAATGCGGATGAAAACAGCTTTTGATAACTGAAACATGAAGAAAGTTCCGAAAATCTACAGAAGAGTTAGAAATAAAAATTAGAGCTAGTCGTATCTAACGCGACGTTCAGTTAACAAACACTATACCAAACAATGAATTTTTAATATGAGCTTCATTTCAATTTCCAAATTTCACAAAGAACTCTAGAATGAGTGACAACTCAATACAAACATAAACATCATATCTGAATATTATATCAATAATATAGATATAAAAATCATACCAGCTTTAATAAAATTCTAAATACATCATATTAGTTGTAATTTTAATCTATCTCAATACATCACTTACAAATATCAATCCGTTATTGATTAAAAACTTATATAGTCAAATTCTATATATCATACCAGTTATTCTTTAAACCTTAATTTCATAGTATATCTTTCAAACCTAAATATCATATAAGATGTCTTTAAACCCATATAATAGTAGCATATAATCAGTATTTATTTAGCATGCTTATCACGGTATAACGTCAGTTACATTTTACAGGACATTTCGGGAGTTGATTTGGGTCCTGAAAATATGTAAAAAGTCTTCATCAGAACTAGAAATGTACAAATATCGCATAATTCCTTCCAAAAATACATCAAACGAGGAATATCTTTTTCTATTTATATATAAGTCGTCATTTCAACATTCAAACGCGGATAATTCTAGACAAACTAAATTTAAACGATGAACCGTGAACACTAGTCCGTTGTAAAGTACAATTGGTCAAACTGGATATCATACCAATTATACTTCAAACCTAAATATCATCAGTAATACTTTAAATCTGAATATCGTATCATTTATTCTTTAAACCTAAATATCACATCAGTTATACTTTAACCTAAATATCATATCAGTTATACTTTAAATCTAAATATCATATCAGTTATACTTTAAATCTAAATATCATATCAGATATACTTTAAACCTAAATATTATATCAGATATACTTTAAATCTAAATATCATATCAGTTATACTTTAAATCTAAATCTAAATATCATATCAGTTATACTTTAAACCTAAATATCATACCAGTTATACTGTAAACCTAAATATCTCATCAGTTATACTTCAAACCTAAATATAATAGGCCCCATCATTCATTCTTTAAATCTGAATATCTTATCACTCATTCTTTATACCTAAATATCACAGCAGTTATATCATATTATTAATTATACTTTAAACCTGAATATCATATCAATTATTCTTTAGACCTAAATATCATATCAATCATAGTTTAAATCTAAGTATCACGTCTGTTATATCATATCAGTTATTCTTTAAACCTTAATATCATATCAGTTATACTTTAAATCTTAATATCATATCAGTTATACTTTAAACCTCATATCATATCAGTTATACTTTAAATCTAAATATCATATCAGTTATACTTTAAATCTAAATATCATATCAGTTATTTTTTAAACCTTAATATCATATTACTCATTCTTTAAACCTAAATATCATATCAATCATAGTTTAAATCTAAGTATCATGTCTGTTATATCATATCAGTCATTTTTTAAACCTTAATAACATATCAGTTGTACTTTAAATCTAAATATCATATCAGCTATACTCTAAACCTAAATATCATATCAGTTATACTTCAAACCTAAATATCATATCAGTTATACTTCAAACCTAAATATCATATCTGCAGTTATACTTTGAATCTAAATATCATATCAGTTATACTTTAAACCTAAATAACATACCAGTTATACTGTAAACCTAAATATCTCATCAGTTATACTTCAAACCTAAATATCAGAGGCCTCATCATTCATTCTTTAAATCTAAATATCTTATCACTCATTCTTTATACCTAAATATCACAGCAGTTATATCATATTATTAATTATACTTTAAACCTGAATATCATATCAATTATTCTTTAGACCTAAATATCATATCAGTTACACTTTAAACCTAAATATCACTTCAGTTATACTTTAAATCTATGTAAGTAATGCAAGTATACTACTTTACACTTACATATCGTTTTTGCTTCATAATAATTTTTGATTATAAAAGGAACCCACCTTTGCTAATAAGTTGAGATTTGGATGTTCTAGAGTTAACCATAATTTTTGACGACAACTAGTTGTGTGCGAGTTCATGTTGGTCTCATCAAATTTTTTTCCCATTCTTTCATCGATAATAGCAGCAATTTTTAAATCCTGGTTTTGAAGAGAATACGATTTCCAACAACATTCTGAAATATAGTCCTCAGGAACTCTCCAGAATTCCAATTCCTTCCGAACAGACGTGCTACATACATCAGAGGGGAGGTGAAGTTCTCCAGTTCTATGTAGATCTAGAACTGATTGGAATATCTTTCCATTTCTATCGAAGAAATATTCATCTCTTTTGCCATCATATGAGGGGTCTTCCTTTGTTAACTTTCCTAATTTCGTGGTCGGGATATTTATCAACGTGTGTTTCAAAGTCACATATGTTTTCCCGCCAACATTAAAGGTCACTTTTTCGTTTAGATCGGAGTTCATATCTTCTATTTGTATATCTACGTTCTCATCTGTTTCATCATAGTCTTTCATTGGCATTATAGAACATGTCTCTTGTGTAATTCCCGCGATTAATTGTCGAGTCTTGGTATCTAAGCTACCGTGGTGGCTTTGGCTGACAACGAACATTGGTTATCACCGTAAAGGAACCAAGCGACTGTGACGAATATTTGGTATAAATAATGTAATTTGCATTAGCAGTAATAGTCTAAGTCGCAAGATTTTGTTTTAACCGCCATGTCACAATCAGCAATTAATGCAATTTTGATTCGCCTGTATTATTATGTAAGTTTGCACAGTTTTGTATATTGTTCACTATTTTCAATCATGCGTGTATTCGGGGCTTCCAACTTCACCAACATTCATATATCAATTTACAAAACCACTTGAAGATCAATTGTTTGCACAACCTAGTGGTAAATTTCACAGTCTCTTTTTTTTCAATTTTTTCCATTTACTTCAAAATATCACATTATTAACGACGTTCTGTGAAAAGAAATTTCCCCATAAATGATTATCCGCAGGTCTTCTTGGCATTTAAGTTCTCTTTATCCTGCTACTCCAAGTAAGGACGCACATTAATTATCTTTTTAAACTTGAATGTCAGCCAATCACACGACATGATACCGACTATTCAACCAATCACAGGTATTCTCTCAGAAGTCAGTGACTGATCTGGACGTGAATTAGTAGACACGGCAGACTTGACTGTAGATAATGTTAGACGTAACACACGAGACCTTAATAACTTATAGCTACTTTCGTTTTATTGATTAAAATAAGAGACTAATAGTTTTCAATACAGAACTTTTAAGGTATTTATTCCACAAGTTATTCACCTAAGTATATAAGTTGTTCTCTATATCAGAGATGAATTTCCATTCACGTATCGAATTTACCGAGCTCAATTTTAAAGACTATAGTGATTTGATCATAGATATGTAAACAAATGATAAGGTTTATCACTTGATTCTTATTCAATGTCGCATGTTATTTAATGTATAAAACGTGTTTATATAATATACCGTTGTGATATAAATAGAATCATCCTTCTGCATTATTGGGTGCACATAACCTTCTGTGTATATTTGACTTGAGGAAAGAAAAAGAAAAACTAAACAGTATTCTTCTTTGTCTGTTTCGATTGTCTGGTCTCTTATTTGATCTAAAAAGAACCCTGATACAAGGACTGGAAAGACTAATGACATGAACAATCTAGGTACAAATAATTTTCAGAAGAAATATAGTAAGTTTTATTCGGACATCACAGAAAGCTGCTTTTAACGCAATTTTGCGTTGACTATTAATTATTTACTTGCCTTAATTGTAACAATTCAGTCTTCTTTTGTTATCACTAGACATTTCAAAACGTACGTTACCATAGTGATAAGATTCACTGCTTTAGATCTGCGATTCGGTTTCCATCGGGTATAAAGAAATAATTGCCGTATTCCATACATCTTTTTTACAGGTCATCTAATGCTCCCTAAAATTATGTGATTCGGATCCCAAAATGCTTACCATGGCAGTTAGTTTTTTTTAAATAGAGATTAACTTTAAAATATACATTTATGACTTTTTTGTTATGACGAAGTCTATTTCATAGTTTGTTTGTGCATAACAGTTTACATTGTTTCGCCCATTCATCATTACCCTGTATTGTATGTGTAATAAAAATCCGTACAAGCAAGACAATTCCGTCAATCAAAATATATTTTGTATATTGTATGTGTATATTTTGTATATTGGATATGTAGTTAAGGAATATACCAGAAAGATGTGCCTATTAAACACTGTTTTTCATGACATATATCGTATTATTATTAGTATCAACTGACAATACAAGAAATGCAAAAATGAACTCCAGAAGAAGGTTATCTAAGAATTGCTTACAAAATAATGTCATAAAAATGTCTTCAATAAAGCTAACAAATTTCAGTTTAAACGCCAGTTCTTAGGTTCAAAGAACATATACCGGAAGTAAAAGGACTATTTGCAAACAGAAAGATTTTAGCACCTATTGTCCTGTTATAATCCTTTTAAACCCTCACGTCGATCAAATTCATTGTAGTTAAAATTTGTGATAAACAGTATTATCGACAAAGGTTTTGAAATTTAAAAATTTTGATATTGCTACTGTTAGATCAAAGGTGAAGAGAATAAAAAAAAATAGCTTGTCAATGTAACATACACGCACTGGCAGATTTGTTTAAAGGGACAAGTGCGCCAGTAGCCTACTGTTTTGGTACCAAAGTAAAACCAATAGGATTTTCCATAACTATTCATTGACAAAAGACCTCAAACCATACCTATCTGTCTGCTATTTTTTTAACTAGTCATTTACAGACTTTAGTTATCAAAATGAATGATTACAGTGCTTTAGATCTGCAATTTGGATTCTATCAGAGAGAAGTAGTTCAAATAAATTTAAGCTTAACCACGAAATGTTGTGACCCACGAATCGAATCGAATAGTTTTATTCTTTACAGAGAGTTATTTAATGATATTTCGGAGAATATGAATAAATCGGCAGTGGATATTTTATACTTCACCTCTCAAAATGTGATCAATTTTGATAAAGATAGCTTGCGTTGCAAGGTAACATACGCCCACTGGCAGCTGTCAGAAATGATAAAACTGTCTTTAGTGACTAAAGTATGAATTTTCTCATATTAAAGAAATTTTATTAGTTTGAATTCAATTATAGGCCTATATATATATTTATTTATGCTGAGAAATTCCACCAAATTTTTAAAAATCAATATCAATAACCCAAACACATCAAATTATCGCATCAATATACATGTTTCATTAAAATCAATTGAAAACTGTAGTCTCTAATGTGTTCACAAACAAATTTTGGCGCGTTTTTCCTGAGTCAAGGGCAATAACTCAAAAACCGTTCATCGAAAGATCGTCAAATTCGAACTTGACCAAGATCTCATCAATATAAATGATCACACCAAATTTCATTAAAATCAGTTGAAAACTGTAGTCTCTATTGTGCTCACAAGAAATGTTGACGGACCGACGGACCAACAGACCGACGGACAGGGGCGACGGCAATATACGTCCACATTTCCATGTATAAAAATATGCTCATAATATGTGTGGACACATCACAGCTTACCTTAAAAAGCAGGAAATGTGAAACGAAATCGGAAGATCGGTTACCTAAGAATTATTAGCAAAATATGGTCGTAAGGGTTTTTTCATTAAGTTAACATTTTTCAGGGGAAAATTCCGGAAGTTTCCGAGTTTATAAAACAGATACCGGAAGTGACTGAGGTATTTGCAAACAGAAAGATTTTAGCACGCATTGTCTTGGTATATCCTGTAACTTTCACGTCGATCATCACCATTGTAATTTAAATTTGTGATAAACAGTGTTATTGACTAAGTTTTTGAATTTTGAAATGTTGATATTGCTATTGTTGAGAACTAAAGAAAATATAGCTTGCCAGTCAAGGTACACAACTACGCACTGGCAGATATGTACTGATGAGGGCATTTAGTATCAACTGTCAGGGGTGGATTCATACGTAGTTACGTGCCATAATGCTGGTTTATGACAGGCGCATAGTTTCGTGTGGTTCATTCCCAAGGTGATTCATTTGTCAGAGGGCCCTGAACGGTAATTAGTCAGGTATCTTCATTAAAAATTGACTAAGTGTACAACAATAAATAATACAGTTCGAAGAACACGCCCTGAAGTGAACGTGCTCAAAAGAATAAGGGAGCAAACAAGCGTTGAATATTAAAGACTTTAATATTTCGGAGCTGACCCTGAGATTTAATCATTTCATTTAAGTTTTGTCCACATCTATGAAGCATTGTTCCATATATTCATTTATGTATTTTCATTGGGCGAATCGTTCTATTTATAACTCTTCGTTGGCAGTTAATGGCTTTATATAAAGGGACATAACTTCTGTTCTAATTTTGCTTCAGGACATCAGTAATGAATAATATCAGACTTGGATAAGAAAGACAAAGTTAAGAACAACTTTATTTTATTTACACTGATACCATACAAATAAGTTTGAGAATCCTAGAACTGACATATGACTAACAAAATAAAGAGAAAATTTTAATCTTTAAGTACAATTGTAGTCCAGTTGATAATGTTCACGTCTTAGAGTGATCTTATATTTCAGTCACATGCCAATTCTTGATGTTATGTACATTTTATTTTCTAAATATACAAGTTAATTTACGATTAATTCATTGATTTCATTAGTTTTTAACAAAGGTTGGGAGAAAAATCACAAAATGAAATAACAATATCAAATGTTAAGAAACCAACACAAAGTATTTACATGTACATTTCTATGGACATGGCGACAAAATAAAATTAAAATTAGACAGCACTGAACATAAAAGGATGACATAGATAGTCCTTCATTCAGGTTCACTGCTTCAATCTGTGCAATATCAATTGAAGTCAATTTCAAAAGCATTTGCCGAAAAACATAATTATTAAAATAGCAGTAATTTAGTTGCCAATGCTTTGACATGGTATGCATCATGAATCAACTGCTATATATAGCACATGACCAGTTTTGGTCAATCCTGTTTGATAATGACCTGAAACACCCTACATCTTATGGACAACAGAATACATACATATATATAAATTTATAGATTACCGAATATATACAAGTCTTTTAAACAGATAGGCATCTCTACTTAGTGCCAAGTCCTAAATGAGCTAGACGAAGCAAGAAGTCACTGTCATTTATTTTCCTTTTTAAAATATAGTTGCTTCCCTTTTTGATGTCATAACAGAAAATAAAAGCAAGTATAATTATCACACTATATCTTGCCCTTGGCTTTTTGGTTTCCTCTTGGAGGGGTTACAGGCCTGCCTGCATTCAAACCACCGTAAGGGAATTTCTTCTTATCAGCTGGCTTCAATATCTGAAAAACATGCCATATAGATGGTTATATAACTTTGACTATAAAACCTCATCTGATATTTATTTCTATGGTTTTGGCAGAACTTGCTTTCAAAATGCTATTTCATGCAAATAACGCACATCTTACTAAACCAAAATAATAGCCACACATATTGGAAATCTATTCAAGAGATGATAAACAGCCATGGAGTCATAAAATTTTTGTTCAGCTACTTTAAGACTAAGTACTGACTAGTTGCCAACATTAATCAACAACTGGTTAATTTGAAGTTATGTACCCACCTGGAAAGAACACATTAATGTTTCATCCACGCTCATCATGGCTCCAGCATTATCAAATTCTCCACAGTAGTTAGGGGCAGAAAATAATGTCACTAATTGTCGTTTGGCAAAGAATTCATACCCATCTTCCACAACCTAAAATACATAGGTGTTAGATAGAAACATTTACAAAACATATTTTCAAATGCTGCCAATAGTCCTTTAGAATCATCTTCATTTGTAATACTCTAAAATCAGTCATATAGAGAAACTCTTCAGCTTTATCAAAATATAATGCAAACCCCAATGGCTGCATTTATAAAATCAAAATTTGCTTACTTGATGGGCTCTGCATATAAGATCAAGATCATGTTTGTGAAGGAATTTGGCGACAACCTCAGCACCAAATGTAAAAGATACACCACGGTCATTTTCACCCCATCCCATCGTTTCTTTGTCTGGATCTGACCATAATAAATCACATAATAAACCTTGGTCTGGAACGTCAGTTGGTCTCATAATTCGTCGAATTTGTTCCATAGACTGAAGATCTGGACTTAAACCTGAAAAATATATAAAAATTATTCCTATGCAGGCTATGATCTCTATAAATAGCCCTGTGGAACTTGACCTGGTTAGCAACAATACTTCTCCCTTCAATTTCATAATTGTGCAGCAGATTTGTTAAAAGCTAAAAATTGAAACAGGTTAGATTAGTGTAAAGAAATGTGCTTATACCTCCATGACAACAGAATATTTTTTCATCAATTATGGCCGATATGGGTAAACAGTTAAAGCAATCTGTGAAAGTTTTCCATAATTTAATGTTATACCGTCTTTTACCTGAAAAATAAAAAAAAATACAAAATTTTTTTTTTCTTTGCTACACTTAAATTAGACTTTGCCTGTTGCATCATAATTTTTTTTACTAAAACTTTTCAATGAATTTTATTTATTAATATTTAATGACAATTGTTTCAAATTTTAAACTATAAACCCAGGAATCTTACTGTAGACTAAATACCGGTACTTACATTCATCATAAAAACCATAAATTCTGTTGATACTAGCACATTCATGATTACCCCGTAATAAAAAGAAATTTTCAGGATATTTGATCTTGTAAGCTAACAATAAGCATATCGTTTCCAGTGACTGCTTGCCTCTATCTACATAATCACCCAGAAATAAATAATTGCTTTCAGGAGGGAAACCTCCATATTCAAACAATCTCAATAAATCATAATACTGGCCATGAATGTCACCTGGAAATTGAAACAATAATTTATTAGTCAACAATACAATCAATTTCATTAAACAAAAGACTATGAACCTAGTGACAAAATATATTCTTTTTCATTGGTCAACCAAATATGAGATCCAATACAGTCAGCTCTCAAAAATTGTAGCTGATTAGCTACAAGTTTTCACTTTCATTTTTCATCAGAGGGATGATACTAGGCCCTACATTGCTTGTGATAATAAATTTCAAATATTACACTTGCATCTGAAAAATTCCCAATAAAATATAAATCCTTAACAAGCCATGTACTTACCACATATTTTGAGAGGTGCTTCTAATTCTAAAAGAATCGGCTGACTAAGAAATATTTCTCTAGATTTCAGACACAGTCCTCTTATTTCGCCTTCTGTCAACTGAACATTTTTGCCAGGCCTGGAACCGCGAACTGAAAGTAGTAAATATTCCGATGGTTATTTCCAACAAACATGATGAACAAAAATGTAACTCAATTGAATTTATAAAGTTATATATTATAACAATGGCTTTGGCCTTGGGCCCATGAAAGCTTTTTCCACCTAACCAGAACTTAGTAAAAATATGGTAAGTTTAGAGAGTTAATTATGGCCTCTACCACACTTAAAATGGTCAAAAATTACTGGAAATCCGACAAAAAACAAATCTGTTAAAAGAAGAAAACGCTCTGCAATGAACTAGAACTAGCCTAGTTGTAAAATGGCCTTGAAGTTCAATTCCCAAACTGAGAATTCGGATTGTTGCTTAACAACAAGACTAGTTTTATACGGCCTATAGACAAGTAAATAATATTCAGCATGAAGTTAGATGAATATAAGCCATACATTTCGATAAGTTACTTAAAAAGAAGAGGCAGATTAACGCGCTAATGGGTCACCCTGGAAATGTTTAGACTTTTTTGTTTCCTCAGGAGAAAATTGGGGTCAACAAACTCACCTTCTAATAACCGTGCTATAACACTGTCTATATTCAATTTGTCCGCATCTGCCATTACAGATTACCGCAGATGCCAATCTAAACAAAATCTAAAAAAGGGCCCTCGACGAGAGTGGATGATTTCAGATTTCGAACAGGGGTAAAAATGTCTGCAGTTCTCTCAGTGCAAAGATGGCCGCCCTAAAATAGCGCGGATTGATACAAAACATCGGACTACTTTTAACTTACGTCAGTCGATTTTGTGTAAAAACAGAATAAATTGAGTTTTGAGCTATATTTTCGAAAACTTTTATGATTGAATTATTATGTTATAAACCGATACAAGTATTATTTACTAAGCTTAGTTTGCTATTTGTAAATTATTTACGGACTATTTATGTTTTCGTTTGTTTACCTTCAAACAGCATTATGGGTAATATTAATGGCTTCCTCCGGGTGGGGGAATCATGAATGGGCACGAAAATGTCCTTTAACTAATTATTAGGTTATGTGTTATCGTCTAGTTTTATTTCAGAAAAGCAAAATGGATGCATATTTTATTCTTTCAATATTTTGGATGCGCTTCTTTAATTAAAGAATACTGAAAATGGTTGTCAAAAGAAAGGGTGAGTTAAAAACATATTTTCAATGGACGATAGAGTCATTAGCAACAGTAATGACAGTTCCCTCCCCTCATTCATTTCCCTTTTTTCTTAAGCAAATTTAGATTTCCACAGAATTTATGTAAATAATATTGATTAAATTAAGCTTATCTTACATTTTACTTCACCATACAGCAGACTTTACTATACAACATACTTAAAGCTACTGTGTCTGTAGGCCTACCTACTTCCCTACTACTAGTCTAGTACTAACTAGCCTACTTATCCTTTTTTTGAACTTTAAGTTGTAGGCTAAGTTCTTCTTTTAAAGACTATGGAAATCTATCAATTGGTATATATTATAGAAAATTTAAAAATAACATTCACTTTTTACAATTTTCTTTTATGGTTTCATTTTAGATTTCCAGAAGGCTGCAGCCTTAATTCACGAGTTTCTTTTGAAACTAACAGACGATTCACAATGTGCAGAAGTTCGAGATTCTCTCAAGCTTGCACTGCTACACATGCAGAAATACTATCGTGTTTTGCAGTCTCGGAATTCAGAGAGGAATTCTCACACACTTCAGTTAACAGCTCGAGGATTGAGTCCAATGACTCCATTTGTGGACACACCTGACAAGTTTCAATGGAAGTGGTTAAATATGGACACCTATGTTCGAATGTCCACGAATATGTCAATAGCTGACAGTATCAACTTTGCATCATTGCCAGAAATTATTGAAGCTACATTAAATGATGACATTGATTCCATAGAAGAACTGATCAGAAAAGGTATATTTTCAAGCAATGGATTGCATTGAAAATGATGCAGATATATGCTAAAATTGACACCTCCCCTCCAGTTTTAAAATGATGGAAATCGCAATTTTCATAAAACTTACTTGTGTAATAACAATACTATAACTTATTTAATTCAAAAAGAGGGAACCTTTGAAGCTATTAAAATCAATGTAACTTAAACTTGACCATTTTCTGATGTTACTAATGCAAACCGTTTGATACGAATTAAATAGCTTTTGCAATAGTGATGTCAATATCTGGTCAATTTTGTATTGAATTACAAGGACCACAGATTTTGGATGGGAATTCAAAATAGTGTCAAAGAATCTATAAGTGTTCACGATACACATAAGTTTATAAAGGATAGCAAACTTGATTTCTGTCCTTTAATGGTCTGAGTTCATGGTTACTGATTTTACTATACTCAATACCTGTCAGTAATAAAAGTGTGACAATGTGTCTTTCGATTTATAATGATTTTGGTTTATTCATTTTGTAGATCCTTCCTGTCTGGATGATAGAGATGGTATAGGAAGAACAGCTTTAACATACGCTGCACATTTCTTTAAACATGGTCCATTACAATATATATTAAATAATCAAGCAGATCCCAACAGTACAGCACATGGTAGGATTTCATTTCTTAAATTAACTTGTTGAATGTTGAACCTCATTCATTTTTTCATGCATATCGCAATGTGAAAGAAACAGTTTCAATTTTAGTATATATTTACCATTTTGATTTAAAAATGCATACTTGTTCTTAACTTGTTAAGCTGATATCTACAAAAATAGTAGCTGAGGATATTCAGATTCAACTTTATACTTATGTCAACTTTACACTTGCCTGTATGCCTTTATGTAGATGGTTCAACTGCATTACAACAAGCATGTCATGATGGTAATGGTCAAGCTGTAGGTATGATATTAGAAGCTGGTGGAGATTTGTCTATAGCTGATGTGTATGGTAGATCAGCTTTACATTGGGCTGTCACTAATCCAGAAACAAACTGTTTACAGGTACAACTCTTCATTTTGTATTATCGAAGAACCTTGTCAATCTGATTATATTGGATTTCAGATTGAAGAGAGATTTTGTTTTTTCATAAAATGGAATAAAAATTTATTAAAGAAATTTGATGAAAAGTGATTTTTTCAGAAGATTCTGTACGTTCCCAAAATTTGCTAGTGAAAAAACTTACATGGCTTAAAGTTTATTGTTAAAATCTGAAAGCTTTAAAAGGTATTTTTTTCTGGCCTCTATATGTGTAGCCTAATGGAGAAGCTAATAGCCTATTTTTGAACCACTTTTATTTCCCATTCAATTACTGAGGTTTCTCTTGACCAAAATATGAAATCTCTGGGGCAAAGACAATTTGGTGTGATTGATATTTGATATTTGAATCCTGAGTAAGTTTGATATTGTTTCTATGAAGTACTATGTTATTCTATTTTTAGATATTATTAGAGAATGATGCTGATACAGGAGTAAGAGATAAAGATGGGTTAACACCTGGTATGTGGGCATGCCAAATGGATCATATCAAACATTTCGAGTTACTAAGTCGGTCAGAATATTGTCATATTGAAGAAGCTGATGGAATAGAAAGAGATTTGGGTGGAAGAACTTGGTTCCATTGGGCTGTTAGAAGAACAGAACCTTTAGACTGTTTACAGGTATCATAATAAATGACAAGCTACTATTCTTGATTGTCTTGGTCCTTTTTTAATTTTGTGTACTCCTACCAACATATTTAATGCTATATCAAAATCACCCAAAAAGTTCTGAAGTGGATAGTGGTGTTTAACTGGCCAGGAATAACTCAATTCACTGTAGACTATAATACAATTCAATATTTTTATTTTTAAAAATTTGTCAGGTACACTTGCATAAGTTCTTGAGTAGGCCAAGAGAGTAATAGTATCTCAAGTTCGGAACTAGCTTGTTTTAAGGATTGTTTTTTATAAGTATGAAATATTTTAAGTATTAAATGATTTCCATTCCAGACTTTATTGACATCAGATTCAGCAAGATATAAAGATAATGATGGTAAAACAGTTCTACTTCTAGCATCAGAAATGGGTTAGTTTCTTTCTTTTCTATATCTATAGTTGGTTCATTGTCATTCTCCTATCACAGTACTTTACTGTATTATCTTCCACATATTCTCTTAATCAGTCCTTAGCCTGGTTTGCATCAAATTTGGGTTAAAAGTTACTGCTGAAATATATTCCCCCTATTTGGACCTATAAATAATGTCTTTTGTCTTTGATTTATTTGCCATTAAACAGTCATTTTAAGATGATAGCAAATTCGTTATTCACACCTTTAAGATAAACTTAGAGAGAGTAAAGTCTTTCCTTACGCTACACTGACTTCCATCAAGCACTGAGAATTTAGATGAAAAGGTGCCCTCATATCATTGAGGTTACCAATTGTGTATGGTTGCGAATAATGAAACTCACAATTCATGACACCTATTCCTTTTCTTCATATGCAACTGGTGATCGATATGGTGTGAGGGCCCTTTAAAGTCATAGTCCATACTTGGGAAATAACATCAACACCACTTCATACAAATTCACGATGACTTCATTTTACTTCTGCTTTTCCAGGTTCATTACCATCTTGTCAAGTAATATTAGAAATAGCTGGTACAGATTGTTTAAGTGATGTAGATAATGAAGGTCGAAGTTCATTGCATTTAGCTACATTAGGTGGTCATGGTGATGTTGTCAACTATCTTTTAGAAAATGGAGGTTTGTTGTCTCAATAATTTTATACTTTTGAATCAACTTGACATTCAATTAAACAATTGTAACAGGTTCCAGAACAATTTCCACAAATAGTAGGTACAGACAGAATCCATTTGCTGAATGTTAGACTGGACAGATTTTAATGTCTTATATTTTTCCATTGACAGCTAATATTATGGCAACAGATAAACATGAAGCTACTGCCTGGGATTATGCTAAAACCAGACAATTACATTATTGTCAGTTGATATTTATGTCTCATCAAAGACAGAGAATAAAGAGTAATCCAACTAGTCCACAACCAAATGGTCATACAACAATATTTAATGGCAGATATTCCTATGACTATGATTATGAAAATGGGGTATGATGAGACTTAGTTTGATGATTTTGCTTTAGTTTCATTTGGCAACTTATTCTAATTGTTAAGTAGTAAATAACATTGTTTTCAAAATATTGCATTATTGCACGTCACATTAAGACGTATACATTAATACATATAACATACATACACACTATATATATATATATATATATACAAAACAATTTATTATAATTCAATGATATATCAAACTTGCTAATTGATGTTACCCTTGCCAAATTGTTATTAGGCAGATACTTGGAATCTCTCATTTAAATCTTACACACCATATTATTATGTGCTAAAAAGATTTCTCTGCTTAATTTTAGGAAACAACGAATCGATCAAAACCAACAACACCAATAACACCCCCCCATCCACCAAAACGACCTCGTACATCTCGTAGTTTGAACAGAAGATCTAATAGTATGACCACACCAGAGCGTGAAAAAGAAGGTTTCGACTGGCCAACACCAGATAGAGCAGTTGTGAGTGCCAATGCTAATGATAACAGAAGGAAAGAGCGAATAGAGGTTTGATGTTTTTTTTGAAACAATATGCTTTCTGGTAGTGTTAATCAACATATTGTTGTATTGAATGGCCATGATCACCAATACTTTGTCACATGATCTTGTGATCTTTTTTACTTCAAACAGCATATGCTGGTTATTCAGAACTGAAAGTGTG